AGAGAGGGAGAGAGATATTGTGATGTGATCATGATCATGATATATCGATTTCGATGATAAATTGATGATGATGGCTCCGGTATGTGTACCCTAAGAGTTGTAGCTAGCTAGGACCATGGATACATTCATACATATATATAATATAGAATTGGTTTGGTTTTGTAACTTGTACGTACCTCTAGAGCATGGAGTTTACCAAAACGGCGACGTTTGGTGGGTCTCAGTGGGGGTGTAGTGTGTATTTGCAAGTGGGGCTGAGTCTATATGTGTAATAGGAGATGCAACATGCAAATGGTCCCCTTTCCTGTTTTTATTAAAAGAAATTAGTGTTTACTGAGGAGGAAACATCCCATTTATAGATTCACACCCATAAAATGCAAGCTTCTCTTTTTCTTTTTTTCCCCATGATATATATTACTTGCGAGATATTTTGAAATCGTGTAGTGTACATGTATATAGATCGTACGTGTGCTATCAACACTCATGTCAAATATGATATATCAAAATTCATCTAAATACAAATATGTAAACCCTAATTTTGACTAAGCTTTCTAAATCTAAAGCACCATGGGTGTGAATCTATATATATATATGAATAAAATTACCACTGGTCCCGAATTCTCATGCTTCGATTACACTCACCGGTTTATTAATCCATGTCAGAGTTTCATAACTTTCATTTACGGAAATTATTGTACATAACCAAAATTTATCCTATTTATACAGTGGAGCTCGGTTATTATTATATTCATCATCTTTTTTTAATATAGCAAAAGGTGATGATAGTATATTATAATAGAAGTCGACGAAGTGCATACGCTAAGTGAGGGATGTATATATAAGTTACATAAATATATCATATACAAAGTTTTAAAGTATGAAAAGAAATGATATAAAAATGGTTCTTCTGTAATCCACTTCTTTTGAAATGGGAGATTCGTTGAGTGTCCATGTGCTCTTTGAATCGACCCTATTCTGTCTGTATATTGCCAACCATATACCTTTACAATATATACAACTTCTATTTTTTGTTTAGATCAATGTGAAATGCTAGGCTTGGGGATCCGTGATCAATTTTTGTTGTTGTTTGCTTAACCATGACTTTTCAGGCGTAAATCAATATATTTTTTTCTCGACTCTTTCCATTTGGTAGCTACATAGATTCAAATGGTAGTCACTAGAATTAATAGAATATATATGAGTGAAATATAATTGAATAGAATAAATAAAAATTACTTCTATTTATTCCTCCAATTCTCTTGCAAAATAGTAGAGAAAAATCTTTCTTTCAAATTTGTCATTCTTTCAATTTTTCAGTGGAATCATTTTTCCACACTTCTCAATCTACATGGTGAAACTTTAAGAAATGCTTAATTCTATCCATTTTTCTCAACCTAAGTAGTAAAAAATATTTGAAAATGCTTAATTTTGGTTAAGTTGAAATCTTAACTAGTTTTACTAAAAAAGGCAAGTTAAAATAAAACTATGTGATAAAAGGGCCAAACTAGTTTTAATCCTAAGTTTCACATTTGGGCCTGGAATGGATGCGTTTAGAGGATTAGTTTAATATGAAGGGCCCAAAGGTTTTGAATTAGTTTGACTTTCGAATGTTGTTCTGAATTGGTTTGACTTTCAAATGTGACGTCATTTTGGTTTACTATAGCGGCAATAGTCGTTACATCTATAATGTGCGCTGTTTGTGATGCGATACAATGTAGATATTTTTGAAACAGCTTTTCTCTCTGACCGTCGATTAAACTGATAGTCGCTCCAACGTGGCGTGATATCATCCGTCAAAGTCAATCAAACAATACCCCGAAAACAAATTCCGTTAACAGAATGCGGATTCCAAAAGTTTTAAATAAATTTTCGACTCAACAAAATTTTTAAGCAGTCTTCGATTCCGGTTCCCGCCGTATAAAACCTAAATCCTCCTAGCAAATTCAGCGATTATCTCACATTTCAGTTTTCAAAATTCAAACTCTCTCTCTCTCACTATCTCTCTCATTTCAAGCTTAGATTCACAGATTGAGAATGATGGCTGCTCTCAAGTAAGTTATTGATCTCTATCTCCTATGATTCTTCTTCTTCCTTCGTTTTCGTTTTGCTTCTTAAGTTTCGTGCATGTGAGATACTGAATCTCTTCTCTTTTTTTTCCCGATGATCTAGAGCTGAAGAAACGAGCCAGATGCAGCTCGTTGAGCGTGAAGAACTCGATGAAGACGATGATTTGTTTGAAGCGATTGACAAATGTAAGATTAAATTCAATTTCCGCTTTGAGGTTTCGCCTGTGTAATCATACTGTTTCTATTTCTGCTCGATTTTGTTTCTCAAATTTCTCGCTACGCTTCTTCAAATATCGTTCGAATCCTCATGTTTGTGTTTGGGTATCTCTTCCATTCTTCTCAGTTTATATATCTAGACTTATTTCTCCTGAATTTCTGGGTATTGTGAATCAGATCTATAATCGTACCTCTAATCTGCAACATATTCTCGAAATATCTACTTGATTTCGATTTTGAGTATGAATCTAGGATACATATCGACTTCTTCTGAATCCATGCGAATAGCTTATGGTTGAGTATTAATCTACATCTATTTCTGTGCTGTTCGTGAGATTCCACTGTATTTGGTACCGATCGAGTTCTATAGGCATAAACCTCTTGCTAGTTTCATCTCGTGATTTATATTTCCTTGTGCCAGTAATCGCCCAAGGTATAAACGCTGGAGATGTGAAAAAACTGCAAGATGCTGGGATCCATACCTGCAATGGTCTGATGATGCATACCAAGAAGGTATAGATCGGTTTATTTAGCATCTTTCATTGGGTTTACACTGCCTAGATTTTGGTTGGATGAATCTATTGTTTTACTTGATGCAGAACCTCACTGGAATCAAAGGTTTATCAGAGGCCAAAGTTGACAAAATCTGTGAAGCAGCTGAGAAGATAGTGGTTAGTACTAAGTTTTTCAACTATTTTTGCTACAACAATGTCTCGTATTACACTTGCAGCATTGTCTTCGTTTTAACTCTCACAACCTTTCTCCTTCAGAATTTTGGATATATGACTGGAAGTGATGCTCTTCTAAAGGTTGGACACTTGATTTTACTAAGCTCTAGAAGTCTGTTTAGCTTTTAAGTCCTGTTGCTTGCACCCACTAAATAGAACAGTGAGATTCTGATGGCTTATTCAGCATTTCATATTGGATTCTAAAACCTTGTTTTTGTTTATAGAGAAAATCAGTTGTGCGTATCACTACGGGTTGCCAAGCTCTTGATGATCTCCTAGGAGGTATACTAAATTTAGGTGTTACAGTTTTCCATCTTGATCACACTACTTCAAGAGTTCTGGTTTAATTTCTCCACAATGCTTCGTAGGTGGAATTGAGACGTCAGCCATCACAGAGGCTTTTGGGGAATTCAGGTGAGAAGCAGAAGCAAGCTCTTTAAGTTTCCTGTCAAAATCTTGTATTCTGATAGAGTTTAATTTCACTTCAGGTCTGGGAAAACTCAATTAGCACATACCCTTTGTGTCACTACGCAGGTTGGTTTCTTTCCTAATGTCTCTATATGAATTAATTGTTATGGTGTTTAGTGTAACAGTCAAAGGCATGAGATGAGATCCGTACTTTCTTTCTGCATATAACCCATTGAGGTCTCTGTCTTTCACTGCCACTAGTACTCATTTCTGTATTTATGTTATGCAGCTGCCCACAAACATGAAAGGAGGGAATGGCAAAGTGGCCTACATTGACACTGAGGGAACCTTGTATCCTTAATATCATAGAGCAAATCTTTAGACCAGATCTTGTAGATTCACTATGTGGTTTTATATTTCATGATTTTTCCTTAACCCCTAAACCCTGTAGCCGCCCTGATCGGATTGTCCCAATTGCTGAAAGGTTTGGAATGGATCCAGGAGCCGTGCTTGACAATGTAAGCATTATTTTAAGCTTTACATCTTAAACTCTCAGGACTGCAAATGATATTCACAATTTGTTTCATCTCGATGTAACAGATCATTTATGCTCGTGCTTACACCTATGAGCATCAGTACAACCTGCTCCTTGGCCTTGCTGCAAAAATGTCTGAGGAACCATTTAGGATTCTGGTAATAAAACGTCTGCTTATGATTATCCTTAGTTTCTTTATGGAGAAAACTCAAGACGACTATGTTTCCAGATTGTTGACTCGGTCATTGCTTTATTCCGAGTGGATTTCACTGGAAGAGGGGAACTCGCAGACCGCCAGGTTACTACTTTTTGACTCCTTGGCATTACTACATAATCCACTACCTTTGCTCAAGTAGTCCATTTTCTGTGTTGCAGCAAAAACTAGCTCAGATGCTCTCAAGGCTAATCAAAATCGCAGAGGAATTCAATGTTGCTATCTATATGACCAACCAAGGTTTGCTTTACACTTAGATGGAATTAAATGACATAAGAGAATCGAATCTGACTCTTTTGGTTTTTCTTGGTTGCACTAACTTAATAAGGAACATCTCTTCATTTTTTTTTTCTGGTTGCAGTCATAGCTGATCCAGGCGGTGGAATGTTCATATCAGATCCAAAGAAGCCAGCAGGTGGTCATGTTCTTGCTCACGCAGCCACCATCAGGCTCAGTTTCAGGAAAGGCAAAGGAGAGCAACGTGTCTGCAAAGTCTTCGACGCCCCAAATCTTCCTGAAGCCGAAGCTATATCCTTTTTAACAATAAAAAAATTCATTTGAAAGCCAACTTTATTGATTTCGATTATTCATCATCATCCATATTAGTAATGCATGACTTTTCCTTAACAAAAGAAAGCACATTTTCCAGATTACTCCAGGAGGCATTGCAGACGCCAAGGACTAGAGAGCCTAGAGGAGCTCCTCTTCTGCCTGTTTATACCTGCTTACAATATTTCTATTATGCGTACCCATATTACCCACACAGGATTTTTACAAGGGAAGTTATTTTTTACTCGTGACAGATATTATTAGAATCATATGTATGCACTGAATCAAACGTTAATAAGTCTTATATTATTATTAGCTTCTTATTGCCAAATAAAGGGCTCTCAAAGCCCTAATCATTATCATGAGACGAGTAAAACGATGAGATCTCAACTCTGTAGAACACAGCCACAGAGTCCAACAAAGTAAAAAAAAAACAAAAGGAGTTTTGTCCCGTGTAAAAAGGTAACTCCAGCTAAAATCAACACTTAGCCTCTCAGATTTGTTGAGACCAGTTCTGGACACTACCGACTCTAGGCATTGCACCTTCTTTCTTGGCCTCAGAATCCACTTTGAAAGTTACACCACACACCTGACCCGAACTGTCCACCCTTGGAACCGGCTTCAACTCATTCATTGGATGCTCATAGCTCCTCAAGCCTCCAGATGAAGTAAAGAAACATCCTGCAATAAAATGCATAACACAACAACCACATCCTAATTCATAATTTTGCACTATAGATCAAAGAATAACTAAGATGTGAAATGTCTTCAAAACCAACCCAAAAAAAAATTGATTTGTATTTATACCTTTAGGGAATGGTGCAAAGGATTTACCACAACCTTTCTTCACAGTTTCCACATCATCAGAAAGAACGAGATGGCCTTCAGTATCTGTTCCCCAAAAGAGAGGAACACTCCCTTCTGTGTCCTGCACCGTTGCATTCATATACCTTTATAGCTTTTGGACAAAAAACAATGAGAATAAAGAAGCAAATAAATCAAACAACTCACCCCGGCAAGGAAGACGTTTTTTGTGGAGCAGTCAAAGAGCATAAACGCGAATTTGCCTTGAAAATCTCTGACAACTTGGTCGGCAGAGTAAGGACCACGGTCTCTTAGTGTTCTGTATGCTTCGATCACAATGGTGACCTCCGTTGCTGTTTTTGTTAGTCCATACTGTTGCTTGAGGAATGGAATGTTCTCTATATGTCCTTGGAAGATGCAGAACATATCATCCGTCACAGAAAACAATCTGTCACACAAATTTGGATTTGAAAAGTCAGCTAACCCCCAACAAGATCATGAACCAATAAGAGGACCAATAAGAACACAAAATCTGAAAGCAAAACTTGAATATAGTTTCAGTCTCCCATCAAGATTTATCGAGAACCAAGACATTGACATCAGATTAAAACAACATATCAATGACTCAGATGTACAGTGAGAAGGTGAAGATGTATTCCACATTGAAACATTTTCAAACGATCCTATGTTTCTTGCAGGGAGTCAAACAAAATCACAAGTAGACAGCAAATCTATCAGATTTACACATAACTAAAATAACCAAAAGAATCAAATCCATGAATGAAGTTGGGTTATTCAAAATAAAAAATCCAAAATTACCCACTAATCATCTCATCGCCATAGTCATTGGAAACAAAACATCATTGTGAACGATAAAAGTCCATTTTTTTTATAAAAATGCAAGAAACCTGGGAAGAAGAGGGTTCTGCTTATCGAGCGAGCAACCGATGAGACCAGAAGATCCGAGATTGATGGTGACAGCACCAGGATAAATGGAGGCGAAGTGGTTCGACAAGAACCCATCTTTAAGAGCACAAGCCGATCCACCTTCTTGACTCTGTAGAGCCTCAGGGCTCTTCGCCACGTTTTTGTCGAAAATCGCCAACATCTTCTTTCCTCTCGATCACACAGACAGTGAAACACAGAGCCAGAGATCAAAAGTCTGAGAAAATGACTTTACGATCGTTGAATGGGCATTTTTCTAAAAACAAATGGCAAATTTCAATAGGGCTTTCGTTTCTTGGAATGGAATATAAAAAATATTCGGTCCTTTTCCTCCACGTTTCAAGATATTTTTGTAGAAAATTTTATTATTTCTTGTTTAATGGGGTTTTAGCACGTATCTGATGATCGCCTCGCACGTTACGCTAATTCCTCTTCAAGATAATATAACTCAAAAATCAAAATATGTCTGACATTGGAGATGGATTTTGCTTTCGAAAAATCCTATCTTTACCCGTAAATTAAATAGCTTTTTTTCTGTTTTACTGAAAACAAGTGAACAAATGATACTATCATAGAGAAGAGGCAAGATCCATGAATCAGAATAAGCTTATCAAGTTCTTCATGTTAAACATAAGTAAACAGAAGGCTAGAAGAAAAAAAAATTTGTAGAAACCAAAAAACAAAAAAGGGGTCTTTTGCTATTAAGCTCTTAATTAACTAACACTTTTCTTATGATTTGTTCACCGATTCAAACATAAAGGAAAACAAAACCTAGGTGAAGTTCCGTTATGTTCAAACCCTGTTGTATGCAACCGACTTGCTGAAGAGCTTGCGAATGTAGAGAACCTGAAGTCCACTTGCTGCCGCAAGGAAAATGTACTCTCCTACTGTGTAGAATATCACACGCTTTCTCGTGCTCTCATTAGCTGCAACAAAAGTTTCCCAAAAAGCCAAAATCGATCACATAAAGGAATGCTATATCGTAAAGGTTGTATCTTTTGGTTCCTAAGAGCGCATTCAAAGTCTGCATGCTTATAATTCGACTCTAAAGGTTGTATCTTTTGGTTCTTAAGAGCGCATTCAAAGTCTACAAGTTTCTTATTCAACTCTAAAGGTTGTATCTTTTGGGTCAAACAAAACTATACGTTCTCCTAAGAATGCATTCAAAGTCTCTATTCGATTCATTATATTGTTATACTGCATCTGAACAAGTTCTTCATATCAAGGGAATAAAGAACATAAATTGCAAGACAAAATTATAAAAGGGTGTAAAAGGGAGAGAACTCACTGTGACGGTGACGAGTATCACGTGCTTTCAAATACTTCTGCTCAGCAACAACAGATTCCAAAGCCTCTCTCAGCTCAGCGATCTTCACATTTACTGGGTCCAAATGTTCTGAGAAGCATAAAAAAAGAAAAGAGGAGGAACATGGCATCAAGAAGCTGTTCTAAAACTCAACACAACGAGATATACAAATCAAGAAACACAATGATGAGGACAAAAAACTTTATTCAATTGAAGGGAAATGGAACAAACCGTCTTTGGCTAAGTCGTGCTCGTTGGGAATATGACCAACATGAATATAGAAGGACACAGTTTCAGGAGTAGAGTAAGGGTTGTGGAAACAGAACTTGTACATTCCACTTCTTGGTGCCTTAAACTCGAACTTATCTCCAGATGTTCCCTTCAATGTTTGTACAATGTTCCCAGCAGGAGATGTCACCTATATGAACAAACCAATGATTAAACATTGACCACTACAAATCCAAACCAAATCGAGATAAAGGCTACAATTTTGATTCCAATCTAACCCTAAATCGTAACATCATTTCGAAGATCAGATCATGGAAAAATCAATCATGAGAATCACGAATACAGACACCAAAAACCAAAATCCGATCAGAAATTTTTTCACGGCATCGGGATTATCGAAGGAAATGCATCGGTTTTAAGAAAAATTGACAAAATTGTCAAAAATCACTCACCGTGAAATCCAAACCGGGATGATCTGATCCCCAGAAGATATCATGGTCAACGACGACGAAGTTTCCGGAGACGGTATCTCCTTCGTAAAGGACGTACTCTTGGACGCATTCATCGTCGTTCACGGTCACTGAGAGCGACGAGATTCGCTCGATCGAGCTCAATAGAATCAGACCAACCAGCACAAAGACATGGATCTTCGAGTTCCTCGCTTGTCTGCTCTCCATCTTTTTTTAGATCTTACTTTCTCTCCTTGGATCAAAAATTTTTCCGTTTGTTTCTCGAGAAAATTCGTCGAGCGTAAGTAAAGAAGAAGACAAGAGGATTTAATTGCGCTTAGCTGACTAAACCAGAAACCAAAACCGGTTTATGACGAAACAATGAGATTTTGGAGCTGGTCAACGGCTTCTGGTCTTTAAACATTAAAGACTTTGAGATAACTAAATAGTAAAGTTCCCAACATTCCTTAGAATTATTTTGTCTAAATTCCACCAAAATCAAAATTTCTCTAGTTTGTATGGATACGTTATCCTAAAGTAGGACATTCGATTTAACTTTAGTTTCGGATCGATTTTAGATTTTCTGTTTTATAAAACATCCAAACTTTATTGTGCAAATTAAATCTAAACTATTACCAAAGACCAACCAAAATCATTTGTCGTTTGATTTCGGTTCGTCTTGATATATTTTCGGTTTGGTTAGTTTTCAATGGTTGGATTTCGGTTTGGATTCGGTAAACAAAAACATTATTTTGTTTTTTTGACATCAGTAAACAAAAACATTTGACGGTAATGTATGTCAAAACTCAAAAGTGACAAAAACGGAATACATTAGATTAAGAAACATTTTTGTTGGGAACAAAATCTAAATTTTTATGTTTCTTTTCATTGTCTTACCATATAAAAATGAAGCTTTCCAAATCTCCCATATGGTGAGACTTGCGATTATGAATTAGTGTATATCGCACTATCGAAGACAAAAATAATGATCAGATTTTGACTATTGTCAACTTGAGGAAAATTTGGTAAACATTGGAATATGCGTAAGGGCTAAAAAATATTTAAGGTTAAGCAAGAATGTTACTGAGCCTAGTGAGCCCTTTTCTGGCCCATTACGCCTTCGGTAAAATATATGTCGGACCACTCAGCATTGCAAACTTTTAGCCCATTTTCGCTGATTGTATGATTTTGGTCACTAAACTCTAAGAACACCATGAGAGGCTTTTAGAGGAGTTTTTGGTTTTAAGGGAATTAAAAATAAATCAAAACTAATTAAAAATAAGAACCAATCCTAAAAATTCTTATTTGAGAACCTCATTTCTTAGAGGTTCTACACTTGTCACCTTCTCATTAGTCTATTTTTATTTTTAGAATTAAAATTTAATTAAATAATTATACTATATTATAATATTAATATTTATTTGTTTAAAAACCCAAAATAAATTCTCCACCATTGGAATTTTTACTATTCAGATCTTCAAATTTGAAGATTTATTTTTTTCATTTGCATTTTAGTTCTTATAACTAACTATCTTTATAAATAATGTCTTTAGTTATGTTTGTTTATCATTTTAATTTTATAATATTTCTGATAATTATTTCATATAAATTTCTCTAATTATAATTTTTAAATACAAAATTAAAGAAAACAACTTTAAATTAAAATATCACATAAAAACATTACAAAAAGTAAATTACAAAAACACATAAATATAACATAATATTATTACACAGATTTATTAATACAACATAAAGTTCTAAAAAAAAAATTACAAGCACACATAAATATTACGCAAAATAAAATACTATAACAACACTAATAATCAGGCTAATTTGATCCTGAACTCCAATATCACCCAAATTGTATGTATTGGAAGTGGAAAAATTGTCCAACTGCTTGGACTGGACAATTTAATATTCTTTTTTGTTATTTCTGATTATGTTTGTGTGTTTTTTTATAATGTTAATGATGTTTAATTAATTAATATTATATGTAATCTTCTTTAATGTATGTTTACAGTTATTTATATTGTTTAATGAATCTATTATATAATGTGAGAGTTTTCTCTCCATCTAGGGTGTCCACATCAGCATAGAAAAACAAAACTAAAATTAATGACTTAATTAATTCACACATTTTACATTTTAAAATAATATTATTTTCATTTAATAATAAAAGAAAAACACTAACACTAAATTTAATGACTTAATTAATTCACACATTGTTTATAATTATTACTTTTTATTAAGAAGAAGAAGAGTAAAAATTAGAAAAAAAATAAAAAGACATAGTTAAAGAAAGAGACGAGGATGAAATGAAAATCATAGACGATGAAAAAGAATAAAAACAATAGGAGGAAGAAGAAAAAAATCAAAATATAAAGAAAAACATGTAGATGGAGACAAAATAAAGAAGAAGAATACATACACGAGCTATGTAAAAATAAGAGACGAAACAAAATAAAAAAAAAGATGAAAAAAATATTAAAAAATAAAATAAAAGGAAGTTGAACCATTCTAGGTATTTAGGCTGTTGATAATAGAAAAAAAAAAAGAAAAAAAATAGAAGTCGAAGAAGATGAGGAGGAAGATGAAAAAAAAAATAAAGAAGAAAAAGAAGAACACAAAAGTGAGAAAGAAGAATTAAAAAAAAAATACGAGGACAAAAATGTTGAAGATGAGAAAAAAAACAAAAAAAACAAACAAACTATGATAATATGAAGATAAAAAATGAATCTAATAAAATCAAGAACAGTAAGAAGATAAATATAATGAATTAAATGTCTAAAAATGAAATTCCGTGCAACGCGCGAATTATAAATCTAGTTTAGTTAATTATGTTGAAAAGTCAAGATTATAATGTAAAGTAGAAAGTTTTTGAAGTTTATTCTGAAGAGAAACACCTAAAATTTTAAATTTGAAGTTTATAGATCTTCAAAAATGAAGTCTCTCTTAAAAATTTGAAGTTAATGAATGAAAGACCACAAATTGTAATGTTAGATTGGCAGTGACTTTAATGTAGTTTCTTCAATTTTGGTTTAGACTTAAGACTTCAAAATTCCTTGATCAGTTTTATACTTTCTTACCATTGAGCGAGATAACTAATGAACCTTATAAATCTTCAATACTTTTTCATCCACTTACATTACATTAGTACAAGTATACAACGAAAGGTATTGAATTGTAAAGTTATTGAAATGTTGAAATGACCGTTAAGAAAACTGATGGAGTTAAGATGGGCCACGTAGTCAGAGACAAAGAGAGTCAAGTCACGGACTCGGACAAAGTATGTATGGGCCTCACTCGATTCCAACTTAGCTAACTTTCAAAAGCAAAAAGAGATGTGTAATGAATGAAACCTCGCTTAGAATAGAAACGAACGTAATGTTTATGTTTTGTTGTGAGCCACATGAATTTGGAAGGTGCAGAGAATCTTTTATACGTGTTTTACCAAACCCACTTGGCAAAAAAGAGGTAGAAGGAGAAGCTGTGACGAAGAAGAAGGCCACGTCATTGACTAATTGCTCTTTTCCCTTCAAAAGTTTTCATTCTTATGTGTGGGGCAATGTAAAGCAACGTGGTTCGTTAAATATCGCACCTCCTCTTATTCACTTTTTTAGCTTACGTGTTTCGTTTTGGAGCGGCCAAACACTATTCAAGATTTGTTCAAAGATTATGAAACAAATATCTTGGACGTCCGAAAACGTTGGAATTAGGAAGATCCGAATAAAATGATAAGCATGTCTCAGTTCCTAAGAAAATGAAACGTAGATTACATGAACAGACTAAATTTGCATAGAAACGTTTTTCCTTAGGTAATTTTCCTAAACAAAGTCATGATTAGCACTAATAATTTTTTTTATTAACAACATGCATGATATTTCAACCTGTTAAGCTATTTGTCTAACAATTAAAAATTAATTGTATGTGTATCGAAACACTTCACTAATTGAACAAACGAACACGAACGAAAACACTGGCTAATATCTTTTTACTTTACATGATTTATGTTTTTGACCGTTCGTTATTTTTAACTTGAACACGAACGAATGAAAATGAAAGGCTAAATAAGTAAAACAACTAAAGAAAGTTCAGGAAACAACTCGACCTGGACCTATCATTTCTCATCACCCCGTCCTATAAATACATACATTGATCCTTCATTACTATCATATCAAGCTTCTCCACAACTTTTAATACCTTAAAAGTCTAATACCCTCTCAGTTCATACTCTAGATTCCTCCTTTTATTTCACACAAGTAAAAACAGCTTCAGAAATGGCAACGACGTCGTTTAACATGCAATCTGTCTTCGCCGGTGGATTGACCACTCGCAGGATCAACACCAACAAGCTTTCCTTCGCCGGAAACTTCTCAAATCTCAAGAGGAACTATCCGGTGGGAGTGAGGTGCATGGCTGAGGTACGTATATACTTTTACTTTCTTCTCACTTTCTTGATCCAACGGTCATTATATATATATATATATATATATTAGTATGAAATCCGGACCGTCTGATTGTTTGACTTTTTCAGGGAGATCCCATGAAAGACGAATCTACTACACCTTCGACCTCGGCTGCTCAGCCTATGCCTAAGGCATCCTCGCCGCCTCCTCCTCCCCCTCCTACTAAACCTAAGGTATAATATTTTTCTTGGTTGATAAAGCTTCACTGTTTGTTTTTTAATGAATCGTTTATTAATTAGTTAATTCTTCCCATGCCTTTTGTTAGTTTATAAACAAAAATACGTCTTTATTGTATGATCAATTAATTTTGCGTATCAACTTATAGCACACAAGATCATGGAAATAGGGTTTTATATTAATCAAGTAATAGCTTGTGATGATAACTAATGATTTTGAACGTATATAGGTGAGCACGAAGTTGGGAGACTTGTTAGCGTTTAGCGGTCCAGCACCAGAGAGGATAAACGGGCGTTTAGCGATGGTTGGATTCGTGGCTGCGTTGGCGGTTGAGCTATCCAAGGGAGAAAACGTTTTGACTCAGATCTCCGACGGTGGCGTTTCGTGGTTTCTTGTAACGACGGCGATCTTTACGTTTGCGTCGTTTGTGCCGCTTCTCAAGGGCATAACCGCAGAGTCAAAGTCCAAAGGTCTTTTTACATCAGACGCTGAGCTTTTGAACGGGCGTTTCGCTATGCTCGGTTTGGTCGCTTTGGCGTTCACTGAGTTTGTTAAGGGTGGGACCCTCGTCTGAGTTATCAAAAAAACAAATGTTACTTTTTAGGGGATGATGTTATATTACAGTTTTGCCCCTGTATTTCTGTAAAGTTATCTGGTTTGCTCTTGTGTCCTGTTATGTAAAACAGTAATAGTAGTGAGTTTGCAGTGACATTTGGAAAAAACTTGTTGGGTTATGAAATATTTTTATTATCAGTGAGTTGCTATCATATACTCTCTCGGTTCCAGAGGATGTTTTAGGATTTTTATTTGTTCAGCAAGATTTTATGTTCCAGAGGATGTTTTGAAAGAATTTAATGTTATTTCATTTTACAAGAATACTTAACAGTACTAAAATTTACGGGTTCAAAAAAAAAAAAAAAAATTTACGGGTTCAAGAAAGTGAGAAACGAGAAAAGAAATTCGATTTATGGCCAGCAAGATTTTATGGCATGTCGTCTTTAATTTATTGCAAACCTAACGATTATGACAATACACCATTTCACAACTACCAAAGTTTGCATTCATTTCTCCTTGAGGAATCTTTTTGTTCAACTGCTTAACAATTTACGAAGGAAAGAACAAAAAGTTTCAATTAGTGGAAAAAATTGAACGGTTATATTTCTGAAATCGAGGGAGCGTGAGCCATCCGAAATAAGATTTGGGGTAGGAGGACAGACGACACAGTATAATACTTCAAAAAGTGTGCTGATTCCTAAAATTTCTTTAAAATGGAAATATCAATTATCTACGTACCAAGCATAAATTAAATAAATTTAGAACTCATAAAGTTAACGAAACTGATAAACTGATAACGAAAAATATATATATAGTAATATTAAAAAAAATCTATATAGTGCTATATGTTTATAATATATAGTCAAATTTTATATGTAACATTTAATTAAGAAAATCCCAGACGTTGATAGAAAAATTTCTATTTTTGAATATTCATGCTCACAAATTTCAAAATCATTATATTATACTTTCAAATAATTGTTATGAAAACGCTAAACGGCTTATGCAATTTCTTCAATTTGTGTTTGAAAGAACTAAAACAAACATGTCATAGAATCCATGTTTTACAAGGTTTTTCAGAATAATAACAAATCAAACATCGAGGAAAATATAATCCACACATACAGACATACTAAAGTAGACCAAAATGTAAATTCAACGGATTAGCAACAGATAATAAAACAATATGCAGTGCTCAAAATAAAAAGATAAACGAGCGTGAAGGTAGTAAAGTAAAGTAAATTAAATGGGCCTTGATGTCGATGTTTTGGGCCCGTAGGTTCCACCGGAGCCCTCATTTTGAAACCGACTTCGAAAAACAAAGGGAATAAGGATTACTTGTGAATGATTCTCTTTTTGTATACGAATTAGTAGTAATCATCAATTTTTTTTTTTTACCAGTGAAGTTTACTATTTATACGATTCACGTGCGATCAGTGAAGAGTTTAGATTTAATATGATCAGCAGAATTTAAGTAATCCAAAAGACTGGTAGCAAGAGATGGAGCAAAATGCGGCTCAGTGAGTCATGAAAAAAAAACAGCAGAGCACGTGCGTACGCAATCTTAAATTCAACAGACAACGACTGGAACAGATTTTACGTGACTCCCCACTTACCGTTGTCGCTTGCTTTTTCATTTTTTGTCCATTCCTTAATCATGATTCATCCCCCAGTCTACTACCATTTTGTGTTGTTGAAATTTTAAGAATTTTTAAAGGATATTGACAGTGATCTAGATCTACTGTTAGATTTTGTTATTTTCAATCATATATATCTATATATTTAATTCATATCATTTTAGTAATATATATTAGAGTTTGGTGCAAAATCGTTGAATAGAATAGAAGTAATTGAAGACACTGCTCAGGTCAATAGTTGTTGTTTGGTTATGACCCAAGTATACTAGCAACTTCAGCTGCCACTCTATTGTGTAGTCAGAATCTTAATTATCCCGTAAATCGTTATTATGTCCACCATTGAATGTCATTGATTAGGTTGTTCATGGAGATGTTCTAGAGAAATCTTTTAAGCATGTCCATCCACAAGTTGTTTGCAGTCTCTTTCCATGTTTATATCCAATTATAAATTCGACAACATAGAAGATGAATTCAGATGGTATAGAATGGAGAAGCTGCAGATTTATTGCCAAAAATTGACCGTATATACGAGAATTCCATTTTCAAGAAATATATACGAGAATATATTCTGCCTTTGTCGATACGAGAATTTAATTCCTTGTGGTTCATCAATCAACATTATCAATAAAAATCAGAAAGAAACAAAAAGCAATTTTCCATTTTCAAGAACAAACGCATTCCTTTCTATTCCAGAGAATTATTCGATAGTCTTAATTTTTACATCCCACCATAAGATTAGCCATAATTATTTAGGAAAAAGATTATCATTTGTTTTCTCTCGCTATAATGCAATGTTTTAAAACCGGACCGCTGACCGAACCGGGAAAGCTTTTGGGTCATGGGTTAGTATGGTTAGACCAAGTTCAACCGGGTTTGATAAATTTTTTCAAATAATTATATATGGACTTTAAAAAAAAAAACCAAAAGAAGTATAAAAGAGTTATGATTTAGAAAACTTTTTTTTTTGTCAAATATTTAGAAACCTTATCTTTTATTTTTAAAGTAAAAATAAATAAACAAAAATCAAATTGACTTGTTACTTTTTAAAAAACGTAAAAAAAATATGATTTAAGTTTTTTTTAGTTAAATTCAGTTTAATACGGTTTATCGATTTATCTAATTTCTGGTTTTTGATGGTTCAATCCGGTTTTCAACTCAACCCGGCTACACTTCTGGTTTGTGGTCCAACCTGGTCTGACCGCCGGTCCAGTCCGGGTTTAAAAACACTGCTATAATGAGTATAGCTGTATGTGGGAGAAAACAACCTCTCAAATATATACGATGGTGGTTGGAAGAAAAATAAAACAGCCAGCATTTCTTATTTTATTTTCTATTTAATAGTTTTGTTTTTAATGTTATCATTTTTTATATAAAATATTTACGAATAAAATTGCTCGACTAATTACAATTTATCATCGGACTACTATATATTTCTAATCTTATTGCATTTTAACCTCCTTTCTTCGATTTTCTGTTAACCATATTTTGTTTTGTCTCTATTGCTAAAATTTTGATAATCACAATCATAAAAGAGTCGAGCAAAGTGGATCTGGAGGTATTCTATTTCGGGAAAATATTCAGACAATGATTATTATGACAGGAGCAAAAGCTAGTGGATAGCTTGCCATTTCCGCAACACGAGAAATAAAAATTAATTACTTCTAAAAGTGCTGTGAGATTCCCACCAAGTGCGAAAATGAAAAGTAAAGCCAAATAAAGTTTTATAATGAAAAGCTCGAGCCGTGTTTCAGTGTTATCTTACATTTTTTCTTAACAAGTCGAGTAAGTTGATAATGAATATTTTAAATCGACAAAGGTATTTGATTTTTTTTTCTTCGAAACTATTAGAGCTACAAGATTAACTGAACCTTAACAATTTTTGTTTAACTGAACAGAATTGCTGAAGAAATTCTTTAGATCTTAGATGTCATCCCCACCGGGTCGACACAATTTAGGTCAGCAGTACGCTTTATCAAAGTTGGTTATTCTAGAGAGTTGGACTCTATCTTGAAATTAGCTGATTATACATTGCAAATTTGAGAATACAATGTTTGGTTTCCAACTTAATAAAAACCCTAAGACAAAAAATAATTATCTTATCGTTTATAGTTCGCATTGATTTAACTTTGTGTTTTTTTTAAGTTCGAATTAGAAAGTCAAGTCGAAAAACACAGTTTATATAAGGAAAATCGTCTAATCTATTTTTTGCTAATTTCCTAGTAATAGGAACCAAACAATCGGATTCTGAATTCAAATGACGACGAATAACATAGAAAAAAACGACTTAACCTACCAAGAAAGAAAAAGTACCATTCATCCAGAATAATGGCATATAGACCGATTAATCTAGAGAGTTTGCATCTATTGGAAATTGTATACTTGGTTTAGTTTACTTGGTTTACTCTTGGTATAGTGAATTGTACTTGTGGTTTAAGTATGTAAAGGCGTAAAGGTCTATCTTAGCAATATAAACGTAAGTTGAGAGTTATACAGATAAAAGTACAAAACCAGTTGGATATTTTCTCTTCTTCTTCATCACAAATCCTCTCAGAATTAAAATTCCACGGAAATTCTCATTTGGTAAGCTATTTTTTAATCAATTTAGAATAATTTCTCGAACTTTGTAAAGTTTATCCGATGGCAAATTTGACCTAGTTCAAAGAAGAGTTTCAACTTCAGATGTAATACAGAATCATACAAATGTCTAAAATCAATATAATTTTATCAAGAAAAATGTATGTTAGAAAACTTTTAGCAATTACTTTGAGCATGACACAAATTAAGTTAGTTACTTTGAGCATGACAAAAATTTAGAAACAATTTTATTTCCAAAAAGAAAAAAGAACATTATTGTTTTTTGAACAACAAAAAAGAACATTATTTAACCCCCCAATTCAATAAGTTAGTCCATGACTCACCAAATTGAAACAAAACCAAAAAAGCTAATAGGAAACAAGTTGAGTCAAATGCCTAAGTACTTCTTTATTAATTTCCTCTTAATTATTGTGAATCAGAACCCAGATAACCAAGTTGCTCTATTAGCACATCAACATTTTCTTCATCTCCTTCAAAATCAAAATTTTGACCTTCATTTAGCAAATCTTCCCAAAAACCTTCACCATAAATATCGTTGTTCTCCTTTTGGAACCCATCTTGTTGTTGTTCCACTTCATTTCCCTTTTCCAGATCCAATATATCTTCCTTATTGGACTGATCGGACTGAGCTCCAAGTCCTTGAATGTGCATAGCAAGTCTGTCCAATTCTGACATCTCGAATTGAGATATGACTCCATATGTTTCTTGCTTTATATCAACAAATGCCGAGGAGGATCCAGCATCGTTCATATACCTTCCATAACTACCACCTCCACCACCACCATCATCATCATAATCCTCCACATTAACCACATTTCTTGTACCTTGATCGATAGGTCTTTGTCTCTTCTTGCTGATTGCGTCTTCAATCTCCTTCCTCTTCTCCTTTTGATCGACTAGCTGCTGAATGAATTCCGGATTCTGCATTGCGCGGGCGAGGAAGCTCATCATTTGTTGTTGTTTTGATTCAGTTTTCTTGAGCTTCTCTTCAATCAATGTAAGATACATTTTGGTGTTTTGTTGTTGTTGTCTCAATTTCACTAGCTCCGTCATCAGCACTTGTTTGTCTCGCTTCAAGCTGTCCATCTCTCCATCTAAACCATACCTACCAACTTCTATGCAACAATTGTCTAGTGATTGTTGTTGAGAAGATGATTGAGGTTGTTGCATTTTATTATTGTTACTTGTCTTTCTTCTCCTTATGGTCTTGAGGAGATGCTTTTGCCCTCTAAGAAACCCTTCATTTGCAAACTCCCATCGATCTGGATTCACCTTTCTGAAACCCTATTTATAGAATTTTATGATTAGATTCAACTCCAAACTCTTATTGATAAACTTTTATTGAATCACAAAGCCAAAACCATTCATGAACTCCAATATTGTCATTCTATCTTATGTATTTTATGCAACTAGAGATGAGAGAATTTTCATATAGTTATAGAGAGAGAAACAAATTAGTTGCATATCATATCCATATATTAATGTTGTAAGGAAAATTTCCTTGAGATCTCTAACAAACAAATGTAGAACATTTCACATAATTATAAGCTCCGTTTCAAGATTTTAAGAGATCTCTAGAGACAAAAAGACGCAAAACACACAAGTGGGTGTAAAATATTATAAGTCTCAAGTTTTTTCGGAGAACAGTGATGCCCACTTGCATTTATATATTTATACACTCACGAATCCTTCAAGCAATCATATATATTAATTATCACTAATCAACCACTCGGATGGAAATCAAAAGCGCCGAAAAAAACACCAATCAAAAGCCAAGTCTCAAGAACTCGAAAAATTATATATATACTGAACCATTTGGAAAAATCCACAAAATCAAGTTTTGACCCAATAGTTGAAGTCACGATTTAATTGTGAGTGAGTAGACCTCCCCAGACAAAAACACACAAACACACACACGTATATATATTCATACACAAGTATATATAGAGAGATTAACACTTACATATGTGTTGAGCTGGCGAACAAAGCTAGAGAAGTTATTGTGCTTGAAGAATCTTGGGAGGAGAGTCATGGAAAAGGCTTGTGGATCCCAGACGACGAAGCTGTTACTGGCCTGGCTCCAAGACACGACATGGTTGGTTCTTGAATCTTCCACTAAATCATATGTCTTTGTCAGAAATGGAGGTGGCCCTGATTCGTGGAGACCTTCTATTGGTTGAGGAGAGCTCAATGTAGTTGGATCATTAGGGGCCATGGAGGTTGAATAGAAGTAAGAGGGAGTTGAAGAAGATGGTGGTGATGGAGAATCATTGAATCCTGTAGGAAACTCCTCTTTTATGAATCTATATGAAGGATCCATATATGGTTTCAATTTATATAAAGCTTAGATCTTTTGATGTGGGTTTAAATTTCAGTGAATTGGAATTTGCTTCAATTTGCAACAGAGGAAAATGTGAATTGGTTTTAGAGAGAAGTGGAAATTGAAAGGTTGGAACTTTGGAAAAAAGTTTGCTCAGAGAGATTTTGTAGATGGAGTTTTGAGGTGTGAAGATGAAGTATATATGGAGAAGAGAGGAGGAGATGAGAGAGAGAAAGAGGGAGAGACAAGGAAGCAAAAGGGTTTGTATTATATTGCATTTTATGAACTTTTGATGATGGATTCCTTCCTCTTTTGTATATAATATACTTTTTTCCCTTTTTCTTTTATTATTGGAAATATTATTCTTTAATTTGCGCTTTGTGTTGGCATCTAGATAGTATAGTTTGACATGCTGGAGCTAAAAGCAAATCCTGAGATATTTTCTCTACTCCCTAATGTGTCACTCTTTATATTATTCTAAGCAAAATATGCCAATTACTAGCCTCTAATAATAATGTATTCGTGGTGTGTTGTGATTGGTCGAAAATAAGTACTAGTGCATGTATTTACACCTGTCAAAGTCCATCTTATTTTACACAAAACATATTCTTTACACGAAAATCATTGGAAAGCGACAGTATTCATACTGAAAAGTTCATTTTTTTTTTTCATGTTAACTTAATGGAGTAGTAAAGAGTTTAATGAGGTTTTGTTAATATTACTTTGTTTTATTTTTAACTGAAAATATGTTTAAACTGTAAGTAGATTTTGCTCTAAAGAGCTTATTAATATATAGAAAATTGAAGATAGAAAGGATAGCTTATTAGAACTTTAATGTGCAAGAATGAAACTGAAAGAGAAATAGGTTTAAATTGTCACTATAAACAAAAATAGTTTTAGATTGATTTTCGAAAGGAAAATAGTTGCCTTAATTACAACCTTCAAAGTTACTACAAAAATTCTCATAAGAAACATACTTATACAATTCTTACTTGTATAAAATCTTAAATATATGAGCTTCCTAAATTATATTGGACTTATATAGACTAATCAACCCCAAAAGAATACATTTGTACATTTTACAAATCACAATTTCCTAATTGAAATCTAAAACTTGATTATATTTGTCTAAACATTACAAACTTTTTTCAAAAGGCCACACATCTATCAGTTTTTTTGTGTTAACTATGGTATCCCAAAGCAAAATTAAGACTAAATCCACGAAATCTAAATCTACATAACAAAATCTAACAAGCCTAACGAGACTACTATGAGAAGGTTATAAATCAGAATTCTAAAAACTTGATTGATATACGTTTGTTTGAATTACAAAAAATGTCGAAAGATAACGGATTTATCGGTGGTCAAGAGTGAAAATCCGTGGCCAAATATAGAAACTAACACATATGTGTTTCTAACTCTGAACAAAAATCAAAACCAAATTTTAAATTATTGAATAAGATCGCACATGTGTGTTTTAATTGTGCTATCGTGTCCACTTATCGGGCCGACAGTTTAACCATTCCAACCTGGAAAAACCCATAGACTTAGACTAGACCGGATAATCATCACTTTTACCTTTTGGTTATAATAATCAGGAAATCTTATAATTATATATGAATAATATAGAACAGAACGTGATATATAACACAAAGTACGCATCCATATGTAACACACGTACGCGAGACTGCAAACGCGTTTTGAACGCACAAATGTTCGATTGCTTACCGTCTTTCTTTGAATATCTTATTCTTTGAGGTTAGAAAGTGAAAAATATCTTCCAAGTTAAATACTATTATTATAATCGATCAGGCGAATTATACAATCTAATAAACCCACTAAAATCTGTCATAACAAATTGGGACGAAAACCTACCAACAAATAACGAGAAAATTTTTGATTAGAAAAAGGATAAAGTTAGATACGTATAGAACAGTGGGTCCAACTCAAACACGTGGCAACGGATTAATTCATAAACACGGACCTTTTATAATTAGGGAACAAGATTACACGTCATTATTGTTGTCTTAGTGCGAGCATTATCGCCTTTTGAGGACTTCAAATCTCTGAGAAATTGACACGACGCTTGTGAGTGTGTCTAAAGCATCCAAAATGGACAGGCTACGTGTTGATTGTCCATTAGGTAAATCATATTTTAAGAGATTTAATTATCTGTAATGAGATTACCTAAACACGTGAAACCGGACAACGTCGACACGTGTCTACACCCCTTACATTATTTTATTCTTGATCTACTATTCGTTGATTTTGCTGATTTCGCATAACATTGAAATGTTGACTCACTCCAAAAAGGGCTTTGAGAAGTAAGATATTTATGTTCCTTCTCCTCAAATTAGAAGATATGGGAGATATTTGTATGCACTTTATTGTTAAGATATTTCAATATTTAATGTTCGCCAAAATCGAAATGTATTTCTTTCATTAACTAATAGCCAAAATTCTAAAGCATGGTCCTAGTTCGTTACACGAGTATGAAAATGAGCTTATTATAACTCATGAGTTAGTTCAGCTCTACTCGTTGAGTTATAATATGTATTTTTTTAAATTGGTGAGCAAGTTCTATTTAGTTGATCGGTTCTCTAAAGTGAACCAAAAAATGATAATTGTGTAGGTTAATTCCAAATTAAGATATTTTATTCAGTATTTACAAGTATCATGATCTGGTAGTGGTGGCATGGTGATAATCAATTTGGGACAAAACAGCAACTCATTTGCTATAAAGTATACATTTGTATAAGTTTACATGTACACTACATGTTGGTGGATTACAAGTCCAAATTACACCAAGTACCTTTCCACTTTATATTTTGGACAGTATTTATTAATAGTGTAGCACGATTTAAAAGTTAGAAAGTTTTCTTATATGTATTGACTGGTGTATTTAAAATAAAAAAGAAAAAAATACTAAAAAAAAGACTGAAAGATGCAATTATGGAAACGAGTGAGTTCAGACTTAGAGAGTCATTACTCATTACATATATAGATATATCATTTGCTGATGCTGAGTCGTGACTCATGGTTGAAAAACAATGGTTAAATTCTGGACTTCTTTTTCAAAATTCAAATTTATAAGTTTTTGTTTTTATAGATTTTAAAATTAGACAATACTTCAAACTGTGTATCATTTAACAAATGGAAAAATAATAAGATTGGCCTCATTCTACTGTTGTTATGTATCTCATTTTGGGTCCAAACCCTTTCCATTTGGGCCTATTTTTAAATTAGTTCGGCTCATAGTTATGAAATTTTATTTTCGTCAACAATTATCTACTGCTAGCTCATATTATCAGATATTTAAGTTTAGGGGTACTTGCACAAAACCCACAATTTGAAGTCAAATGCAAAAGTAACATTTGTTTTCTCCCTCTTTATTAAATGCCACTTTCTCCCTACTATCTCCTTACAACCACATATATTCACAAAAATGCCATTATGTTTTTAAAAATACTAAAAAGACACAACCATCCTAAAATATATCATTTATTTACGAAAATGCCATCTTCTTCAATTTTGTCAACCACCATTACCAACCAGTTTTGAAGCTTTAAATGTTTGTCCAACCAATTTTGAAGCTCTAAATGCTTATTATGTCGCTTATAACTTCATTTTACCTACAAATTTCTCTCCAATTTCATCTAAAAAACTCTTTCATGCTCATTTTTATAAATTCCAATTTCATAAATCATCTATTTTTGGAGATTCTTGCATAACAACGACTTAGCTAGTTTGTTATCGGTGCTATACAAAATCCTGGGTGTTTGTCAAAGTTAATCGAATTTAAATTGGAAGTAGGTAAACATCTACTTCATTTTCTTTAACATTTAGCTCTGTTTCGCGAAAGCAGACTTCTTTTTTAGTCTGCTAGTCAACGCAGATGTTAGATTTGCAATTGACTTTTTTTAATATTTGTGTAAGTAAACTTCAAAAGAAGTCTGCGAATTGTCCTTTGTAAACAAAAAAAATCATGTAGACTTCTTTTGCAGTCTGCGAGAAGAAAAAGTTATTTTTGCATTTGACCAAAAAAATTGAAGAACTTTGACTTTTATAGTAGACTTCTTTAATTTGACTTCTTTAGAAGTCTGCTATTTCGTAATTTAACTCGAGAGGTTATTTTTGCAATTGACCAAGATTTTGACAACTTTTGACTTTTATAGCAGACTTCAATTTAAGTCTGTTAAAGAAGTCTGCGCATAGCAGACTTTTCGAAAGTCAACCTTTTAGTCAATTGCAAAAATAACCTTGAGTAAACTTCTTTTGTAGAGTAGACTTCATAAGCAGACTTCTTTACTATAGCAGACTTCTTTTACTCGTCAGCAGACTTCTTAAGAAGTCTGCTCTAAAAGTCAAACTTTTGGTCAATTGCAAAAATAATTTTTTCTTCTCGCAGACTGCAAAAAGAAGTCTACTACGAAAAGTCAAATATTTGGTCAAATGCAAAAATAACCCTTTTTTAGAAGACTTCAACGTGAAATTTCCCCGGCAGATTTTGAACGGATGTCTGTATTTTTTTAAAATTTTAAAATGCATTTTATAAAGTATTTGTAATGTTTTTTTTAATTTTAAATTGTAAATGCATTTTATGTATGATTCTTGCACCTGTATGGATTTGGTGTGTTTATGTGTTATAATTATAAAGTTATGAATTTTTTTGGTTTGAAAGGTAATTAGCACATCTAAGCAGACTTCTAAAGAAGTCTGTAGATGAAGTCTACTGTTACGTATTAGCATATCATAGCAGACTGCATACGAAGTCTGCCTAATTATTTTTTTAAAAATTCATTTTTGAAATATTTGTTACTTGTAAAAATGATTTTCTTGTTTTGACATGTTTATTTGTTTTTTGTGTTGCATCTATATGAGTTTGACGTTGTTATGTGTTATAATTACAAAGTAATGAATTTTCTTGTTTGATTTATCTATTTTTGCAGATTTCTAAAGAAGTTTAGAAGACTACTTCCTTTCAATTATTTTTATTTGTT